GTAACTTGAAAAGTAAAATGAAGGACAGAACTATAAGCAGTGAACAATGTTATCGTTTTACTCCCACCAAAATCAAGATCTGTGTTTGTGCAGGCATACTTTATACAGCCTGTGATCCTCCTGTGAGAAATGATGGAAGAAATGCTTGCCATGCTGACTCTAAAACCAAATGCTTTTAAAATTATAGAGTTCATTCCAAGCTTGATAAAGGTATATTAATATGTGTTATGACAGGAGATGTGTCAAATTCCATGAAAAAAATGAACAAATCAGGAATGTGCTCGTATTTTAAGTTGCAGGACTGTTATGAAAATGTATTTCCTGCTAAAACAGTGCACAAGAAAAAGACATTGGAGTTGTGACAAGACACTGTCACTTTTTCGGCTCTTACTGGTGATCTGAAATTTTTCTAAAAAGTGTTCTAATGAATTTTGCTGGAGTGGGAGAAAGGTGCTTTGCATTGAATGGAGATGATGTGGGGTGGGAAATAAAAGGAAAGAAGTACATGTTCCTGGATTTCCTGTGTTGCAGGGTGCCCTGTGACAGCCAGTGGGCTGATTGCAAGCAGAGACACTCACTTCCCCTGTAGAAATAACGTCAACATGATTTCTTTGGAACACAAGAACGTTGATATTCACAACAGTCTTTTCTGCATTTAGCTCCTGTGAGATTTTAATGAAGATGAAAAATCCCAAATTTGGAAGTGATTTTTAAGTAGAGTTCAGGCCAGATCTCTCCTCATTTGAATTATGATTCATGAACTGAAACTGAACCAAAGTGTAAAATATATACTTTCTAACAAAAGGATGCTAAGACAGAATAAAACAGTCTGTGAAATCAGAGTATTTTATATTCTCTGGTTTGCACTTAGTTGAATTCATCTTGTCTTCTGCCATAGATATTTTCCTTTTAGGTGAAAATCTCTGATGAGGTGTGGTACCTAAAGGCTGTTATTGGCAAACCTTTTAGATAACAAAGTGGGGATTTTTTTTTTTAATATATGCACACATATACACTCATGCAGGCATATAGAACAAAATAAATCAGATGCCTATGAAATAATATCCATGCCTGTTCCTGAAAAATTCATGAATTCCTCACTTCCCCATTCATCTTCCCATGAATGTGATATCCTCATTCTGTTTTTTTAGTTTTGTTTCTGAAACTTCTCGTTTGTCTACAAAATCAATTGTAAAACATAATATGTAACAATACTCCAATGTGCAATGACCCAGACACCTATATGCACTGTCTGCCTGCTCAGCACAAGTGAGAAATGCTTAGCACAAGTGAGAAATGAAATGTAAAATGTAAATGTAATTTTAAAATATTACTTTCACTATAAATTAGACCACTATCAGTTGAAATGCCTTTGGTAGAACCAAAGGTGTTAATGTCTCTTGTCATCAATGCTTAAGATGTTTCACATACCATTTTATTGGCCTGTGTGTGACTATTCTGTTCTAAAAACAGTTATTTAATGAAAGGACTAAAAATTTTAGGCATTTTCATGTATGATGGTGGTTTCATTTAGGCTGCTTAACCTGGCATAATGAGGAGCCTGTTTTGGCATTTCACTGAAAAATGTAACCTTCTATGAGAGATCATCTCCAGCATCATTTTGTGCTAAGACTACTTATCAAAGTGTGTTTTTAAGTCTATGAGAATAGCACAAAAGCTTAAGTGAAAATAAGTAGAAAATACATGGATATTACAAAACAAGACCTCCATCAAGCTGGAATAGTTTTATGTTTGTCTTCTTTTTTTCCCCTTGGAACATTCACTTGACATTTTTCTGTGTTCATTTTTACTCCTTTTTCTCAGCTTATTTGTTCTTAACCCTGGAGAGAGCCCATTCAAAATCGATTTAAGTCTGTTCAGAATGATCACTAAATCTAACAGTATTTCCTTGGGAGTTACTAAATTTATCTTGGTCCTTAGCAATCACAAGTAGGTTTTCTGCTAGAGATTGAGTTAGGCTTGTAAATTTTAAGTTTTCCCAAATGCTTCTTCTCCTTTGCAGTGAACCACAACTGAGTGGTTCTGAGTGGCAGAGAAGAGATCCTTGGTGAGATTAACACCATAAAAATTACTCTTCTCCTTTCTCTTGAGCCTCTTCTATGGTACCAAGGCTTTGAACTCCCCAGTGAGAGATGTCTGACATATTAGTCAGTCCCATGGATACAGAACTTCGGTCAACAAGCCCAGTTGACTTCACAGAGGTTGAAGATATGCATAAATATGAAATACCCAGTGCTTTAGTGCCTCAGTTCTCTTACAGAGGGAGGAAAACCTGCAGAAGCAACACTGGAAGGAAATCTGACCTCTCATCTCTCTCTTTGCAGTTTGATGCTTAAACAGTATGGCATATCCCCCTGTCAGTCAGCACTTCTGCCCATTATTGTACCTATTTTTTTTGCCTATCCAGCTGAATCCTGGTCCCTAGTGGTTTATTTTCCTTGTTCATTCTGTAAATTGTATACATCAGTGTCACTCACCTTAAAATATCAAAGGAAGTTAACAATTTAATCAATATCATTTTGTATGGGACAACCCAAAGGCATTTTCTGTGCCAGTTAGCTCCTTCCACCACACTAGGATAGGAATATTCATGCTGCATCCAGCATGAATGGTCCAAATGTGGACCTTTAAAACCATCAATACCCATCAAACTCTAATAGGCCTCTCATAATTTTGTTTTCCTCCTCCCTGTCTTTGGGAATCCACTTTTTCAACTACTGTGGTTCATTGTAAGAATGCTTAAAATTCCCCATAATTTTGTGAAATTACTTGTTTTACTGTGTCAACTATATGAATTTCTGTGATTTGTAAATCCATGTAGGTTATTTTTTAAACACATATTGCTTTAAGAATTACAGGGTTCTTGACTATTAGTGAACTAACAGGAAAGCATGGGAAAATCGCATTCTCTTGCTGAAAACAAAGGCTCTTTCTCTTTAGTGTCTATGACTTGGGATGAGAAAACCTAGGGTGAGAGAAGGGAAGTACCTTTTCTTTGTCAGTTTTCTGCTTTTCTTTGTCAGTTTTCTGGACTTTATGCTCTTTCCAAATTACCACAGGGGTACTGTGACATGATGATACTGAGCAGATGTCTTTCTACCAGAGCATTCTGTGAGGTGACTTCTATTATACTTCTTTCTGTTTTCTGTCACTGAAGAAAAAAAAAAAAATCATCTCTTCTGTACAACTTCTATAAGTCAGAGAAGTTTGTCCTATATTTTCTTTCTGTTTCAGTTTTCATTGAGTTTCACTCTTCCCCTCTCCCCCAGTCATTTCTCTTCAGGCACATGGGTTTTTATTGTCCCTTTACTTTTTCTTCAATCCCGTCTTGAGGCAATGCCTTAAAGTTATGGAAATTGAATTCGAAGATTAATGGATTCCTGTGTACTTTCACTTTGCCAGCAACAGGTTGAGAACATACACTTCATAAGTCTTTTGTTTTCACCTCCAAAAGACACAAAACAGAAATATGCATTCTTATGCCGTCAAGTTATGCACTCATGCCCTGTAACTGCATCACATCCGTGCAAATACCCGTCACATATTTGCAGGTTATTTTAACATTTTTTTGACCCTAAAGTTGTTTTGTTTGCAGCATAGTGTCACAGACCTGATGTGCATCTCACAGCAAGCTATTCACGTGCTTGCTTGGAACCAAATCACACAGACATTCCTTCCCCCAAAAAAAGGAGTTCAGTGCGAGGAAACTTGAGATACATCCTTGGGGCCAGCATAAGAGTATGGTAGAAGGACTAAATAAAGAACAATAAAGAAATATTTTTGATAGATAATCTGAAAGTCAACATAGTATGAAGATAATTAGCAGGCAGGAGTGTGTTCTTACGTCTGACTGAAGGGTCTCTGAGGCTGCAGCCTCATTACTATTTTTATGGTAAGAGATGAGTGCCTCAATAGTACACATAATATTGTCAATGTGTATCTTAAGTTTCTTTATGGAAAGATCTGAAAAATGGTTAATTAATATAGAGAAAACCTTGAAATATTTTGGACATCTGTAAGTGTTGGTTTTCCTTAAAGTCAATATTAAAAATGGAAGTGCTATGGATAATGTACTTCCTATAGTGAAAAACGTATCTTCTTTTCCATAAATTTGAGGTTTTATATTTTTCTTTTTTTAAACAAATGAGGATAAACCCTTCAACTCTGTAAGATCATGTGATCTACTTATATTCCTTTCATTCTGTGTTGTTAAAAAATTGTGTATTGCATAAAGGCATATCCAGCAAATATATTTTAAACAAAAATATATACTTGATAAATGTCATTAAGGCTTTAGGAAATATGCAAATGTACACACTTCTTTGAAGGACTAGAACAGTAACATCTTTAATAAAATACTATTTAGACCTTGTTTTTATTTCTTGGCTCCCTTTAATTTAGAAGAAACTATTAGTAATATGCCTGATTTTTCTAATTGTCTCAAAGCTCCAAAACAAGATTAGTATGTAATAACCTTCCTTTCTTTATTGATGTTAGCTTAATTATTCAATTTCTTTGAAGGTATATTACAAATTGTTTTCACATTTACCACAATTAACTTTAATAGCTCCTTAGATCCCCAGGCAACTATCTGTTAAGTCCTCTCAGTGGTCATCTGTTCACTTAAGAAGGTATGTGTGACTGAGTTTCATCGTGAAACTGTATTATTGTGCCATATAGCAATACACATTGCAAACCTGAGTGCATTTATTTATAATCACCTTTTCATAATAGTTTCTTCTGTTTTCTACACTGCATTCCCATTGTAGAGCACTATCTCCATATCGTTCTTGCGCAGTACATTGCAACCACTAATCTGATATAGGAAGATGCATTCAAAAATGAAGTATTGCACAATACCAAGTTTCATTTGCTCAGAAAGATTGGGCAGTTCTTTATGATATACAAAGTACGTGAGTAGCTAGTGTTTTTATAAACTCTAATTTATTTAATAAAAATACAAAAATATAAATATACAGATATAAAAATATCAGGATGAATCCACACACAGACATTCTTTAACTCAATAAATATGGCAGTAATATTAATCTTTTTAAAGTATATTTTTGAGATTAAGTTACAATGCAGATGCACACTATCCAACATAGTAGGAAAGATAAAGCAAAGCAATTTAAAAATATGGAGTTTCCATGTCATTATTAAAGGCGCAAAAAGCCTTTTATTTTCTTTTCATTCCCTATAAAACCATTTCATTGGAGGTTTCTAGGCAGAGAGGGTGAGTTTGTTTTTAAATCTCAGTCGTTCATGTTCATTCACGTTGACTTATTGATTAAGCAAACCCTTACTAAGACAACACCTATTTTTTGTAAAGTTTTTATTCCCAAGTAAGAGAGTAGGCCACTTTATTTATCTAGGAACATAGACATGAATTCCACTAACACGGACCAGGTCACAGATTACTTTCTCAGTCTCGATCACTGTCCTCTCCACCATACATATCTGCTAGTTTTTTAAATCGAGGTCCCCAGTCACTGAGGTAATCATAGTCTTGGTTGCCTTCTGTGGTAAGTGATTCCAGGGAGCTGAGTGAATTTGCTATGGAATCATTTCCTTCGTAGGCATATGTTGCTAATGAATCATAAGGAGGGGCAGCTGGGTCTAAGTCATTTTCCTTTAACCTTCTATGAATAAAATCTTGGACATCAATGTTTTCCCAAAGAGGTGCAGTCCGCCTTATCTGAAATATTGTTTCTGGGATAACATCTCTTCTCATCTTACTTTCCTCCCTTGCTTCTGGATTTCTCAGTGTACCAATGTCAAAGGCCTGTGTGTCTTCCTCCCCGCCTCCTTCATCATTGTAGGTCACAATATTGTCCCGAACATCATCCTTTGAGATGATCAAGGGTTCCTTCTTCCTCTGTCTCTTGAGAGCCGTAAACAAAACAACTAATACTAAAAGGAAATAAAAAATTAATTAAGAAATGGATAGTTAAAAAAATAAATAAATGAGCCAAAATTTTACATCGTCTTTTGACCTGGAAATGTTTTAAGGCTGGAATGGGATTTTTAGTAGGGATATAGCGATAAAATCTATATCCAGCTTGATCCCTTAATAAGGGAAAGTATTCATGATTTGATAACAGTCAAAAACTTACTATTTTTTTAAACCTATGGGAGAATTGATCAAAATATTTTATATTTTAAAGAAATTTGCAACTAAGCTGAAGTTGAAAAGGAAACAATATCATAAAGTATTATCTTACTAAGGTTTGACTTTTTTTTAAATTTTGTGAGTACCACCTTTCTGGCAGTTGCAAAGGGTCCTTTGATCAAATGTAGTTGAATCTCCTCGGCAAAAGTTATTCACACTCTTGAAAGCTAGTGATTTAGGTATTCACAAGTGTATTATTCACTTCTGAATATGGGATCTACAGGTCCCTCTGAAAAGAAGAATCTGAGGACCTTAAGCTACCAATATTATTGACAAAACTACTTTTGCTTCAATGACTGCAAAAATTGAAATCCAGTCTTTGTTACTAAATGCTGCTTTTGAAAAAAACATGACCCCCCCCTTTAGTTTATGAAGTGCTAGTTGAAAAACTCTTCTGAAGAGGTAAGGACTTATACAAAAATGAAGCTCTATAAGGGGAGATAAAAGAATGAAGTTAGGATTTGTAAATACATTCTGGTGTCTAAATGCTTTAATTTCAGTAGCAATTCAATGCTTAAGTGCATTTAAAAACCTGACTCTCTCTCCAGTAGCTGCAGTAAATAAGAGAAGCCATCTGTCAATGAGACATAACAGTGGTTACTGAACCATAAATTACAACAGTGCTGAATAGTTTTTTTGAGTCTTAGGAGCTAAGATTTTGCTCTGAATCACCTGAGTACTGATGAATAAAAGATAAGATAGGACATGCTGCAGGTAGGGAGAGGGGGACAGAGATCTTCCACATGCCATGATATTATCTTGTGCATATAATGGGTATTCCATTCTGGTTTATTTGGGTTTTCTTCCTTGTACCTGTACAGAGCCCCTTCTTTTCATAATGCTAGATGAGAAACTACACACTTTAGTAAGTTTAAGAACCCCACATAGGAGAAAAGGGCATATCACTGAAAGGTTATTATGAAGTGCCTTTCACAGCCTGGTACTTAATATGTCTCACCTATGGTGACTGGGCATGTTGACATCAGTCTACTATTATAACACACTATACCTTGTTGAAAAATTAAATAAGATGCTGAGTATCACACTAGGTGCAGACTAAAAATTCTGTTTAGAGTCTTCACAACAACCTGTTTCTCTGACTTCATGTATGTCAGTAGTGCTAAGTAGAGCAGGGACTACCTTGGGTCCTAGAGTGGTCATACTTGTTCTGCACACCAATTGTCCCTGATCCTCCTCTGAGTCTCATGTGCTATTGCTGTGGCCCTAAGGCACATTTTGAGTTTTGATAAGCTCAAAATTTAGTACAGACTTCTTCAATCTGTACTGAAGCACTGCAGCAAATCAGAGCAATGTTTTCATTGTGAATAAGTAAGGACATATGCTTCACGCTCCATTTTTTTCATGCTCTGTGTTGGGGTGTGCAGGGTGGCTTTAAAGATGCAGAACTTGTTGGCACGGTGTTAAGAACAATGCAAGGTGAAGATCCAGGTCTGGCAGTGTCTGAACTGTAATTTTCTCCTGAAAGTGGTGTCCTTCCAGTTCTGCCTCTCAGACTATGCCTGGGCAATATCCTGGGGAACCCAGGGGTGTTGATGCTCAGACCAGGCCAGCAACAACTGCCTGAACCTAATCAGTTTATCTATCAGTTTGTCAGATCTCAAGTATTCTCTCTCCCTTAAATCCAGTACAGATATACTTCGTAGATACTGGTTTCTTCCAATACCCACAGGAAAGATTAGGAGGATCACAGAGTTATCCTGAATCCAGAGTAAAAGCTGCAAAAATAAAAAAATCCCCTTATAATTATATAAACTGATACCTGTAACTTCTCACTGACCCCTTGGCAAACTGTGTTTGCTACAACAGGTGGGAGAGGAAAGAGGTTTTCTGCAGAGTTTTATTGGAAAGTAACAGTGATGGCACTTGTCTTGTAATACATGCAAGTTGAAATTTTTTTGTTCTAAACACCAGATAATGAGCCAGCATTTATTCTACTTCTTTCGTATGTCACGACATCTTTCTAATGCTTCTATCTTCCAAACACTCATCTGACTTCAGTGCTCACGCTTATTTAATCAGCTGCTCTCACTATCACTTGCAAGAAATTGAATATTCTATCCTATGCTTTTGAAGTGTTTTTTGAACAGAAAAAAACCAAATCTTTCATCATTAAATAGTTAATATAATTCATAACATTTAATCATTGTAAAACTTAGCACTCAGCTTCAGAAACATGATTTTGAAGTTCTTGATCTAAATTAAGATCTGATTATGGCACGAACATTATTCAAATGAGCATGGTAACTAAAACTGACCCTGTATTTTCAATTGCATTTAATCTAAGTAGCATAGTCTCACTCTTCTCACACAATCATCTAAAAAGTAATGATGATATTTTTCTGCAGGGTCATGTGAGTAATGGTTTTAAGATTATCAGGGCTCTCAAAGTGACTTGATCTTTGCTTGGCAAAGTAAACACCTCATCAGAGGTACTTACCTAGCAGGATAATGATGCAGAGGAGAATGGCCACCAGTGCCCCGGTGCTGAGGCCGGCAGGGAGGAGCAAGGCCTCGGCGCACACCCGGATGGTCAGCGTGCCCGTGCTGCTCTGGATCGGGTAGTCGTTGTCAAATATCACGATCGGCAGAAGGTAGGTACTCGTCTTACTACGGCTGTATCCGTTTCTTCTAGTCATAATTCCTGCAGTGTTATCTAGGATGGAAACACTGAATCAATAAATGTTTCTGAATTTTTATGTGATATTGGGGAGGGGGGTGTTAGGGTCAGCAGTTACCTTTGTTGTCTATGACAGAGAAGTTTGGATGAACAGCAAATTCTGGCACCAACTCAAAGAAAAATTTGTGTCCTCGAGGAGGCTGATCTTTGTCAATTGCACTCACAGTCTGTATGAGCTATAAAGAAAAGAGTATTTCATGCTCTTTTAGAAATCTTATGTTTCAATTCTCTGCTTTTCATGTCCAGTAAAAACCCAATGAATCTCTATCTGAAGACAAAAACTGATGTCCTAAGCCAAATGTTTCCCACATACACACAGTAGAGGTTACAGTAAACAACTTGGTTTATGGTTTAAATACATAACAAAGGATGAAAAAGGGTCCAGTCCTCACTGTAGAACAGTCATGTGCTTTGATTTGTACTCAGTATCTTGCTGTGATGCAGAAACATTTGCCCTTCTGAATAAGCCATAAACCTCCCGTGGCTCCATGTAGCAATGATGGAGAGTACTGTGCAAACCGGTTGTTAAGTGGGTCTAATTCTCAGTCCACCTCATCTGCTCCTGGCGATAAATCGGAGTACTGCACTGGCAGGATTCTCGATTCTCCTGGGGTAATAAAAAGAGAAGCTCTGCTCCCTCCTAAATTGAAACTTCTGGCTGTGGAGCTTAATAGCTGCCCTAACAAGGCCACTCAAGCCCAGCTGGGAAGGAGTGATAATAGTGCCAGAATAGCATCAGAGGAGAGTGGACTGAAAAAAGAGAGGCTTCAGCAGTACCTCTGGATTCCACAAGCTTTCCTGTTGCATCAAAATGTGCAAATGTGTGTACTCACGTTTACGTAGACACACATAAATGCTAACAAATTGACTCATTTTGTATCTATCTGCCACTAGACTGACAGAGAGCAGTTACAAAACAGCTGCAGAACTGAGGAAGGAATAGTTACCTGGGATCATCTGTGATTTATGAATTGACATGCAATATTTAACACCATGCCTCACTGCATGAGTCATAGTAACTCCAGAAAGCTCTGTGAATGGCTGTTCTGTCCTTTGCCCTTCCTGGTGGATGTCGCACTAGAGAGCAAACCACCGTCCACCTTGGCTTACAAGGACAGGTTTGCACTCAATCACAAGGTGACAAAACTGGTGGCATAAGAGTAGGAGTACATCTCAACTTGCTGTAACTCAGGATGATGTTATATCAGGTGGAGGATGGTATAAGTCAGTACAGGTGAATTTCTATGGCACCTAAACTTAAAGCCAGAATGTGTTCAGCAGTCAGACATTGTTATTTCAAAGCCAAGAGGGAGCCAATGAATGTTTTGAGTTTTCAGGTGTTTCCAGTGCTCAGGGTGTCTTGAAATTCCACAGATATCAAAGCTACTTGTTGTAAAAGACTTTCTTTTTCTCTTATTTCCAAACAAGGTGTGGCTTGATTTCTTCCAGAAATACAGTAATTGACAAGTAGCACTAATATGATCTGTAAACTTTGTGCCAATCAGATAAGGAATTCCTTTTTCTTATATACTGTCTCTGAACATTGGCTTGAGTGGGACTTGAGGACACAGTTAAATTTTGGAAGGTATTTGGAAGGTATTCTCACAGAATGGATCACTGTATTAGGCAAAAAAAATTATAGGGCTGCAAAATATACTAAAGTGCTTTTTGTTGTATTGTTCCGAAAGAGGCTGCTGCTGCTACTGTACTGCATTGTGAATATTTGACCCATTTTTTCTAGTTAGCTTTGGGATACTTTGATTACAGTTAATGATATTGAATTATTTTAAAAAATGGAATTTAAAATTTAAAAAAAAAATATTAATTTTTTAAAAAGAATGGAATTTATCCATTTTAAAACCCCCAAACAACCCAAAACAAAAAAAACCAACAAACAAAACTTAAAACACAGCACAGATTCAGTTGAAGGGTTTGAGTTTAGCTCATTCACTTCCCAGCACCTCCTTCTAAAACAAGCACAAAATATTTTTTATAATTTCTTTTTATTTTTGAGTTATGTTTAGGAATTTGAAAGGTAATTTGTGAACATCAGCCTTGCACAAAGCAATGTGACTATCCTCAGAGCAGGATTATGGAGTTTTTCTAAGTGTAATTAGAATAATAACTACATGTAAAAATCTCTTAACTTTTTAGTCATTTAATGATCATTGATCTTACAATTTTTAATTTTTTTAAAATTTTTAGCTGTTTCACAAGATTAGTCAAATCCTTGTTTATGGTGAACTATCCCGTGTAGTATTAGTGTGTTTCTAAAACACAGTTTATGTCAATAACTTTCCAATGTTCAATTCTTTTGTCTTTCCTGTTATCTGCCTCTGGGAGTGTTAGTACAGAAAGCAAGACTGGGATTTGGTTTAATTTTAGTTTTCCACAGCTTAAAAATATTGCTAAAAAAACCCAAAACATTTTGAGTGGGGTAAGATACCAAATTTAAAAGAGAAAATTTGCCTATCATAGTAGCACAAGTTTGAAAAGACGGAAGAAATAGAAAAGTACCTGGGAGAAGAGAGAATTAATGTGACAACATTTGTGCAGTTTACAATTACTTGTTGAAGAACTCAAGGAAAAGATATCCTGCTGTAATAACTATTAGAAATTGTAGCTGAGTATCTCAGGTCTTTTTTGAGATGTAATCAGTGGGTGTTTGTAAGATTTGATTCACTTCATGTGCAAATCACACGGAGAAGTACAATTGCACCAGGCACAGAGAAACCTAATTGCAACAAATAATTATTGTTGAGGGTAAGGCTGAAGAAGAAAGAAACCCAGCCTTATTACCTGATCTAAATACTGGCAACATAAATTGAGAACCAGCTGTTTGCCTACTAGAAAAAATGGGAGATTAAAAGAACAATGAAAAACCATGATTGCAGGTGAATTGTTCCAAATGATGAGCAGGTGAAAGGAAATTAGAAATTTTATCTAATTAAGGATTTTTTTTTTCAGTTATACAGCTGTAAATAAAATACAATGATATCAGTAATAATCACCACGGAAATGAAAACGATCTGGCTATTTTTAAATATTTATATGAAAAAAGTTAGCACTCCTTTGTGTACATTTTATGATTTCATTTTGGAAATATAATCACCCATTTTGATGCACTTATGGACACTGAGTTATGGTCACTCTTCATCAGGGCTTCAGAGCAATATCTCTGATGCTGTAAGATTATGATGGAAGAGTTATTTCAAGAAAATTACTTTTACTCAAATACATTTCAAGCATATTAAGCTTAGAGAAGATAAAACCATTCTAATTGTTTTCTTTCTTTCATACTTTCCCACGTGAACGAGTAGAATTTAGAAAATACAGCAGTATTGTCATTATTTTGAGGACTGCAAATGCATGTGCCTAAGCAATTGTGTGTATTTTAAAAAACAGTGTCATACTCTAGAGTGGATCTTAACAGGTTAACTGAAGTTTTTAAGGGTCATTTTCCTTTGAGGGTTATGAAAATTTAAACATAAACACTGACATGAAGTTTTCTCTTGTATAATCAGGACAAGGTGCTTGTAGCAGTTTGACAATGTTAAATGAGTAGCAAGAAGAATTATTCCCAATGGAAACATTTCTTAATGATCTTGGGACTAATGCTCTTCAGCCATGCTCTTTGCCAGTGCTCTGACAATGACTGGTGTCTTGGGACATATGTTCTTTAATATCTTTATAAATGATGTAGGCAGCGAGATCAAGTGCACTCTCAGCAAGTTTGCAGATGACACAAGTCTGAGTGTGTAGTTGACAACAGAGGGAAGGGGTTCTGTCCAGAGAAACCTGGGAAATCTTGAGAAGTAGATTTATGAGAATCTCACAAAGTTCAACAAGTCCAAAGTGCTGTACCTGGGCCAGGACAATCCTAGATAAGAGCACGAAGTTGAAGAGGATGTCATTGAGAGCAGCCTTGCAGAGAAGAACCTGAGGGTTCTGGTGGATGAAAAGCAGGACATGAGCCTACAATGTGCACTTAGAGCCCAGAATGCCAACCATATCCTGGGTTACAACAAAAGTGGAGTGGCCAACAGGTCAAAGGAAGCAATTCTACCTCTCTGCTCTTCCTTTGTGAGATTCCACCTGGAGTACTGCATTCAGATCTGCATAATAGAGATGTGGGCCTATTGGACTGAGTCCAGAGTAGGGGAACAAAGATGGTTAGCGGTATGGAGCACCTGTCCTATAAAAATAGGCTGAGAGAGTTGGAGTTGTTCAGCATGGAGAAGAGAGGCTCTAGAGAGATCTTACTGTCTCATCCTCCAGTACTTTAAGAGGGCTTATAGAAGAGAGGAAGATTGACTTCTTACACAGGCAGATGGGGAATAGGACAAGGGGGAATGGTTTTTAACTAAAAGGGGAAAGATTTAGATTAGATGTTAGAAAGGATTTCTTCACTCAAAGGACAGTGAGGCACTAAAACAAGTTACCCACAGAGACACTGTAAATGATCCATCTCTGGAAATATTCCTAGCCAGGATGGAAGGAGCCCTGAGAAACCCAACCAGTCTAGTGGATCCTATTCCTGGCCATGGCCAAGGGGTTTGGAACTAGTTGGTCTTTAAGGTCCTTTTCAAGCCAAATCTTTGTATGATTTCATGATTCTATTTATTTCTTTCATGATGAAGAGAGAGATTCTGCTAAAGGGTTTGGCCGTATTTCCCACTGAAATAATTTTTTTTCAAGCATGGAAACAGTTCAATTATAATCCTGTTTCATGTCGTTTGGGTTTTTTTGTCCTGGATGACAGCATCAGATTTTAGGGCCATGACTTGCACCAGTCAAAACTGTGATTGTAGTTTATGTTCAGGCTATTTTATAGTTATTTGTACTCATGTCTGAAAAAGTGGTTGGGGGTGAGCAGACTGCCTAGGAACAGACTCCTTATACGTATCTCATACATCCTTAGGCAAAGGCTGCTATTCAAGTTGTTTTAAAGACAGCAAGCAAGTAGAAGCCAGGAGGGGGAATTCTGAAATAGGAAGGGTCGCTGTGTACTTCAGAGCATGCTGTTAGTGTTCCTGAGGTTGCGTTTGTATGCACAGAGAGATGAACAAGTAGAAGGCTTTGGTTGTAAGGTCAGCCTTGGGACTGCCTTTAAAAGAAATATAGGAACCATTAAAGCAAATGCTAAGCTTTATCAGCGCAGAGGTCAGCACCATCTAGACACTTTTAAGATGGGCTTTTCAGTGTGTGCTGGCTTGGCATGTTAGGCAAAGAAATGGCTGTTGCACCTTGGCTCCAGGGTACACTCTTTAAAAACTACAGCCACATGCTTCGAAAGGTTTCCTTGGAGAAACATGGACAAGATGAGGTCCACGGGTGGGCACATACAATATATTTTCAGGTTAAACATTTCAAAGAGGCAAACAGAACGTTTGCAAAGAATTCTTCTGCTAGTTCTTTTCAGAACAGTAATATATTGGTGGTTGTTATTTTATTTTTAAATATTTTTCTTTTTCAAAATTCCTTCTTTCAAAATTCACTATAAATGGTGAAAAATAATGTCACTTTCACCAAAATTTAAAGATGGCCAGTACTGTATATTACCTGTCTGAAGTTTTAATACAACTCAATTATCATACAGCATAAAAATTATACTTCCAAAGACCACTGGAGAAAGATATTGTTAAGGTAGAGATACAGTAATAACTTCTGAATTTTGTTGTTTCTGTGTGTAACAGAAGAGAGGAACAGGCCTTTAATCCACTTAAATCATTTGGGTTTTCATTTTTTTTATATCATGCTTGTAATAACCAGTTAAACTTGGTTATTGTACAACGGAAAAATAAACTTTAAAAATATCACTAAGCACTTGAGAGAGGAATGTCTGGGAAATGTTAGCCTAATATTTTTTAGAAGAGATAAAAAAGTCTGGATCTCAAAGCACCGGCTTTCTTGAAAGTTTTGAACTTGTTTGGTGCTGCAAATGTTTCTCTAGGAATCTGGAAAGATCTCACCACTTTGTCTGCAATAAACTATGAGGAAAAAAATCCTGTGAAAGAAACTATTTTTGGCAATCATGAGAACAGTTATAACAGCAAATGTTATGGGGAAATGGTGGAAGAACAGCTTTGTTTCTCCTATCCTTTCTTCCTCTTGACCTTTTCCTCCCTGTGTGATCTGGTAGTGTCAATCACTAACTAACCCTGAATGCATTACTAAGAGTGAGTGTAAATATTTGTGGGACGAAGATTATGGAAAAGATGTGATGATATGGCCCAGAAGAGTGTTTCAAAATCAATCCAGCTCTCAGTGGATGTCCATTTTGTCATTATGTGGCTCGAGTCACAAGATCACACTTGTACAGACACAGTTCTAGGCTATACACCTGTAAGGTGCTAGCTGCAGAAAACAGCCTCCATCACACGTCTACAAGCTTGAATAGATGCCTGCCACTTAATGAAACTTCAGAAATGCAAAGCAGTTTGGTTTGTAGACCTTGGCTTTGTTCCACAAATGTGTTGGCACTTTTAAGCAGGACTGAATGTTGATCAAAAGTTGGAAAACTGTCAGTTCCACTCTTACTTAAAAAAACAGACTGTTACCATGGGTCTCTCACTAAAATAGGCCAAAAGGTGTCTACCTAGTGAAGCAGTTACAATGTATAAAAAGTCATGACTGATAATTAGCAATGCACACTTGAGAAAAAGTGATGTCTCTCTGCTCTATTTTAAAAAGTGAGGGAGAGTAAGGAGAGTAATGAAAAGAAAAATCAGCCAGGTATCTGAAGGAGGAAACAAACTTTATGCATTCTGATATCTGAAAGCCTGTGAATGGCAGGAAAGAATATATCATCAGAGGGGAAAAATAGTGACTGAGGTTGTTTTCTTGATGGGTGTTGAAATTAGTTAAATTGTTGCCAACAGTAAGCTATGCAATAAACTGTAGAGCTAAATTTTTACCAACAAATTTTCAGTTAAATCAGTCTCCTTCCCAAGTATATCCTCCTGGTTTCCATGGAGAATACTCATCCTCTAATCCAGCTAAAAAGACCCAGTTAATTCCTGTGACAAGGCCATGAGAGAACTTGTACCAAATCCTGCCCCACAACAGTCCCTGGGGCATTGGGATTAGGGGTTTCTAAATTGCACGAGAGGAAGGCTGCTTCCTACTTTTCTTTAGCCTGTGTACTAGCTAATGGAATGACATTCTTAGGGTGACAAATGTGTTTCAGCCTAATGAACACAGATTTTTATTAATCTTTTTGTGATAAGGTTTCTCTCCAGTCATACCATTGTTGTTTGGAGACAAAAGAGTAGGAGAAACTCTGTAGGATTTTCTTTCCTCTGACTCTCCTAAGGCTATCTGAAAAACACAATGAGTGAAGCCTCTAATATCTGTTGATGCTGAGAATGAGTAATGTTGCTTGGTGGCAGAGAACAATCTTTGATCATTCTGATGCTTTCTAATTCATCTGAGACTTAGAAAGCAATGTGACTAACAACTGGTCCTGTTAAAAAAAAAATAAATAAATTAACTAGATATATTTATCTTCTCAGTCTGATTCTTTTGTTATGGTACCAGATGTAGAATCAGTGGTGTGATGTGTCAAGAAGCAATAATGTTTATAATAAAAAAGCTGGTTTAGGTGATGTCTAAAATAGGTTGGAGTAGTACTAAATGAACATGTTTCTGTTTTTCTTATATTTTTCAGGGACTGCTAGACATGAGCAATACAGGTTGTCTGGATCTTAGCATCCTTGGCCAAAACATTCAAGTTCATATTTCTATATTAATTGCTATTTTTAAGCACTCTTCTGTGTTGAAGGCAGTCAATTATCTTCTGAAATACTAAGTAAATTATGTGTAAATGTCCAGATATGAATTCAGGTGCCTCTCCTGAGGACCCCAACTGTTAACAAATAGAAAACCAAAATTAATCTCTCATTTTTTCTGTAGCTACCCTTGGTGCACACTCCTTCTAGCATTTTTGGGGGTTGTTCCAATGAGGGAAAATAATTGCTGAAATTACATTGATAAATTAGATGTACGGGAGGTCTGAAAAACAACATGCCTATCTATCTATCTATCTATCTATCTATCTATCTATCTAGTCTCTGTCATATCTGTTGTTAGGTAATCACAGAATTTATGAGAAAGGTAAGTGAAATTTCAGACATCCATGGATATTTCATCAAGTATTCTAGACGAATGACATACTTTTCTGCCAGTCATCACACTGAGATTTTAAGATTTATTTACCTCAATTTTGTCTTGTACAATGAGCCATTCTTACACTAACAGAATTTAGGTCCTATGGCAGGTGTTTGAACTTAATGGCTAGAATAATCTGAATTAATTCAATATGAAAAAAGCAGCTTATAAGTCATAAACTGAAACTATATGGGTCTAATAGCCAAAAGCTTGGATAATTTTTGCTCCTTCTGAAAGGCTTGAGCTGTATTCTTAAGTGGCAATTTATGTCACTGGATGATGTGATCATAAACCTTAGTTCTTGTGAAAAGAACTCTTTTTCATTTTTCTGATATGATAATTCCTTCCACTGTTTTAATTTAATTCATCAGTGCCTTTGATGTGCATATTCATCTATTTATATAGTGTACATGAAAAATAGTAAAACTTTCCTTAAAAAATAATGAAAAAATTGTCAAATACCACTTCAAAGGGAAGTGATTTTTTTTAATCAAAGTATTCTCTGCCATTTTAACCCATTTTGTTTGAATTCTGATATTTTGTGTAATGAATGAAAAATAGAATTGGAAAAAGTCTCCCAACAATCTATTGTATCCTCTTTTTCTCCCTTTTTTTTTTTCTTTTTCTGTTAAACAATTCATAAAACATTACTTGAATTTCAGCTAATATACTACATGTTCTTGCTCTGCATAGGATTCTGCTGTACCTGAAAACCTAAACTCATCTCAGGTGCCATCCATGCTACATTCGGTGAAGCCTCTGTGATTTAAATAAACATTGGGCAGAAAATCAAGTAAAACATGATCATGGTTCCTGATGCATATCCATATGACCCATCTTTGTAAAATCTTTGAATATCACATCGTCACTGTACTCCAAAGAAAAAGAAAATATTATGCATTCTGATCCTTTCCACATATTTTTGGTGAAGACAGCCAGGTTTGTCTGGATGATGACAGCCTAAAGCTAGTGGGACATGAGGATAGATTAAGCTGTTCTTAGGACTTCATCCTGGCTTCTCTCTCCTATACTAGGAACCCACTCATGCTTCTGCTAGTGAAAATAATGTTCTCAAGATTTTTCTTCCAGTCAAAAATGAATCCATCTAGAGAAGAGGCTCATGCATGGCCTCAAGTGTATTTTGGAGAGATATTCTTTAAGCACCATATCTTCTACTAAATCCAGTTATTTTGTAAATACTTTCAGAATTAAAAATCTTTTTTCACAGGATTTAAAATTGAGAGACTGACTGAGATTGCTAGCATAAATAGATGTATAATAAATAGATGATATATAATGGCAGCAATATTAAGACACTTCTGTAATATGCTGGCTCTGAGCTCTGTTGGTTCATCTACTTACTCAAATCCAGATCATCACTTTGTTTTATCTTCAATTTTTCTTTCTCTTCTTTTTGATTTTTACAGAATTGCTGAGGTAGTTTAGAAAGAGATATACATGACCTTTGACCATACTCAACGCAATACCAAACTGAGTTTTAACTTACAATAGAAATGGTCGCATTGCCCTTTATTTTTGAAAAAGTTTGGTTTTTACATTTTCTTTACTGAAACATAGTAAAGATTTTCCTGGTTCATGTACTTGAAGGTGTGGCTACATTAACCAAGCCAATGATAAAAATCCAGAAATAAATGGAATTAATGAACAGTGTAAAGCGTTTTGTAACATTACGCAAACCTCTTTCTGAAAAATATTTTCTGATATTAGAAATGGAAAAACACCTTAAAATAAGTATTGGTTTACCTGTCCTGCTTTTGCATTTTCACAAACAAATGTTTCATAGTAGTTGGCAAACTCTGGTGCATGATCATTTATGTCTAAAATCCGTATGAAGACAGGTATCTGGCTACTTTGTTTAGGATTATCTGAAAAAGAAATATATTTATAATACAAGACAATGTGATATATATATATATATGAAAATAATCCAGTACATTTTTTCTGATAGATTAAAAATGTTCAATTTTTATAATTACACTAACAATGAATAATTATATTTAATTATATGATTACGTACATTACATATACATAAAATTCCTATTTATAACTGAAAAAATTTTCTATTTTATATATATATATGCATGTATAAATAATATGAAGTATGCTTAAATTGATTTGCATTAAAAAGTGATCACTGGGTTGTTATGGTGTTGTATTCTATGTATCAGTTCAGCAAAGGATTTGCTGCAAAACTTGTTCCATGAGCTGGAGCTGTTAAGAACATTTATCTTTTTAAATCAATAAAGCAGTAAAACAGTGTCAGTCTAAAACACCACCACCAAAACCACATACAAACACAAACCCACGAAAAACCCAAACCAAAAGTTGTTCTTTCTCCCCCAACTGTAAAAAACAAAACAATAAAATGACATATGCAGGATATGATCATCAACTACTCTTCACAAACCTCCAAACTCAAGGTATTGCCAGAGAGAATTCTCACACTATCCATATTAAAGATGTAGAACAAGTTTGACCAAAAAACGAAAATCATTTAAGAGGAAAAGATAAAAGATATAAATCTTTCTGAAGATGGGGGTATGATTCATCTCTCCATATTACCCAACTCCCAGATTCTTAAGCACAATGACTCCAGGGGAATGTATAGGAGAATAAAGGAAGGGAGAAAAGTTTTTCCCTAAAATCAGTGTCTTTTTCCCCCTTTGATGACTGTCACCTCAGAACAAAGAGACACCCATACCTAAAAGTATCTAACAGAATAATAAAGAATCCAGGTGAAAGATTTAGGGACAGGGTTTACTTCAGACATGGAGGGCAAAGAATTTCCCTAGCCTTGGCTTTAAACAAAGCCATTATCTGAAATAGGTTAAATCAGTTGAGGTAAAGAGTAATTTGTTCCCAATTATAGAAGTTATTGTGACAACATATTTGTATGTCAGGGACTTTTTTTGCCATTTTCCCCAAGGATATTCCTGAAGACTTAGCTTGGGATAGAGCCAATGAATCACACCTGCACCAAATTATCTGATGTGAATTCTCAGGGAATCATTTAACTTGTCTAATGTATACTGTACATAGTTTTGATGAACCTGAGAATTCCTAAATATCTTTTTAAAATGGGCAAAATGTATATAAAAAATTGGAGTTTTATATGTGTGTTTAAAGATGTCTATCAATAATATAAGGATAAGAGCAAAACTTATGAGACAAGATAAGTCATAGAAACTGTAGAATTTAATTCTTTTCTTAGTTCAAATATTCTTTTGAGATAAGTCTTATCTTCAACTTACTGATTTCAGTTGCTATGACAGTGATGTTGTGCCAGGGAGTTTCTTCTCGGTCAAGTGGCTTTGAGAGGAATAAGGATCCATTTCCTGAATAGATGTTGAATATTCTGTCAAGGTCAGTGTGTCGATCTACAGAGTATCTGTCAAGATACAGTAAAACTGAGCATCACTATCTTGTGTTGCAGCCTCCAGCTCACAGCCACCTCTAAAAATTTTCTAATTTTAACTGTACTTAATCAATAATGTTTTCTTTATGATTAACCTAAGCTTTCCCACAGCTACCTACCTGCATGCTACTAATACTTAGAAACAATTTTAAGACTGTGAGGAGGATGAAGAGCAAATTATTATGTGGGCGGTTTTCAGATTGATAATTGAAATTTCATTTTAGCTCATAAAGTGAATCCTAGAACACTACATAAAAGTGAACTTTTTTAGGTAAGATTTTTTGCAAATTAATTATTTCTTAGAGAACTGTGTCACCAAAAGGCACATATTGCAGACACAAGGAAGTACCAATTTTTAAAATTTATTTTTGAGGTGTGACACAAACCACAAAACTCAACAGAAAAATCTTTCAATTAGTTGTTCTCTAAGATGAATGTCCTAAAATCTTGTTTTATGATAATTGCTTTTGGTTTGTTCTTATGCAACAAGGAAAAAACTTATTTTACAGCTGTTTTTTAATCAGCCTAGTAGTTGGCAGTCATTATCAGCTTAAATGGAAATTTTATACATATTTTACTTAAAAAGATTTTATTTTCTTCCTCCTCTCACACCTCCTACCTCAAAGCATACTGCTGCAGGACATAGAAGGCTTGTTCAGAAATGCAGAGATCAATTTTCATAATCACTTGCATGGTAAATACACAAATTTAACTGCTGTGTTTGTCACTGCAGATAATAATAGCAGATTGGTAACAATTACAGCAATTTCACAGCACTGAACTCTTACTTCTAATTGTTATGACTTTCTTGCAATCATTTCTTATTCAATACACTGTGATCATTAAATAGTTAGGCTATGGAACGTGGATGTTATGTACAGAACTCTGACTGTTATCAAGCATCAGGGAGCACAGAAATACACCATTTTGAGTGTTTTACATGGTATAAAAGAATAATTTTATGAACAGCTTGGTGGAACTACTAGAGCATGCTGACAATTAAATGCTGACATCTTTCTTTTTACCTGGTGCCTATAGACTGTTCTTCAAAAGCATTGTCTGCATCGCTCATCGAGTTAATTGTATTTGACTTCACAAGCTCACAATTTCTCTTTGACACTTTTCAACAACCTCCATGTGCTTAATTACCCAAACAGCTTCTAAATACCTTGCACTCTCATCACTTTCTGTGCATGAGACTTGACCCATATCTAAAGAATTTTATATTGTGCAATGGCTTACTTTATTGCATTCTTTGCTACATCTGGATCTTGGGCAACAACCTGCCCAATAATGCTTCCTTCCTTGGCATCTTCATCAACCTCTATTAAATACCAGGGTCTGCTGAACACTGGAGGTTCATCAATGTCTTCAACAGAAATTTTGACTAAAGCTGTGTCTTTGAATGGCCCCAGCTGAAGAAAACGAGGATCAGGATGAGCGTTGGTTGCTTCTACTCTTAGGGTATATAACACCTTGTTTTCAAAATCCAGATGCTGAGGAGCAAATAATAAAGAAAATCACATCACTTTACAAAAAAAATGCAAGTATTACAATGCCAAGTGAGAAGGTGAAACATCTTTAGGAGCAAAAGCTCTAAGTTTGAATCCATCTTGGGCAAGATGGAGTATATTAGGTCTTATTCTGGGCATTAAAAAAACAAGGATTAAAGGATTATTACAGGATAGCAAGGCAGTTATGATCCCTCTGTCTACTAATTGTTCAGGATCCTGAAAAAAAAGACAAACCAGGAGGCTTTGGCCTATATAAAAATAGAAAGAAAGAAACAGGGAAATTATACTCAGTCCACAAAAAGGAGTTATGTAAAGTCTTATTTGTCTCATCTCACTGGCAGTAAAAAGAGCAATTATTCCAGTTCTTAAATGCTTTCTGTCCTATTTATCTTCTTTTTACTTTCTTTTACCCATTACCATCTTTCCTTTTTGGCACTAGGAGCAATGCAGACTCGTCCCTGGTCTCCGTGCTCCTCAGTAAAAAGAAAATCTGTGAAGCTTGATTTTCAATCTGTGTGACATTTACATCATGCATATCCATATATGCCTATGTAGGTGGACGTTCATACATACATATACATAAACAAGTATATGTGTTTCCAAATATGTCTAGAGATCAGGATTTTATTTATAGGTAGTTATCAATTAATGTTACTGATATATTTAATAACACTAGAATCAAAAAGAGTTGTTTAACAGGCTGAATTCTGAGAAGCAACCAATAAATCTGTCAGACATGGTATTTTGAATTAAATTTCTGCAAATGTCTTTGCTCTTTGGAGTTTTGCTGACATCATATGTAACAACTGAAGTATCACCAAGACTGGACTTAAACCAAGACAGATTTTAGGTACTGGAGATCACTGGCTGCTGAATAGATTAGAGAGGGAGAGTTTAGCCTTGGACGTGCAAATTCATCAAACTCCAGGTAAGCCTCCCACTCTTGTTAGTCTTACCACAGCAATCAGCTGATAAACCCCACTGTGAACTGAGCCCCTCCAAGTTTTCACAGCCCTAATTTGAAAGTATTGTGTGTGAGACTCTATATTGAACAGACAGCAGCCACTGAAATATTGCTTTATGTGAAGTGACATGCCAGTAAATTTCCCTTGAGACTTGAAAATAACAGATACCTGCTGAAGAAAGAGAAGAACAAAACTAATACAACAGCTCCTTGGCAGCCTGACCCCTTGTGAGATCTACCCTCCCTTCCCTTGGAAAAAGAAAAATAACTGTAACACCTGAAGAGCTAAGTACATATAAAAGAGAGAGAGAAAAAAATAAACCTTTTTGACAGTTATAATCCCTTCCTGTGTGTCCTTGTCAGTGATGATATCAAACATGTCTGATCCATCCCCATTGGAGATGCTATATTCAATCTCTGCATTTTCTCCCACATCGGGGTCATTGGCTTTAATTCTGCCAAGCGGAGTCCCAGGGGGAGCAGATTCAGGAGAGCTGAACTGGTAGGAGCCTGGAAGAGCAAAATCAAGCATTTATTGTTCTGAGAATTTTTTAATTTTTTTTAATTTTTTTTAATTCTGAACAAAAAATCACCTTCAATTTCATGTAGATTTTTTAAGTAGCTTGAAGTTCAAAACACTGTAAGAAAAATGCTGCTAGTATCACACTAAACTTTAAAATAGGATTCAAAACTGATTGACAAACTGTCACAAATATTCAAGTTATTCTTCAAAGTCATCTAATATTGTGCCTTTTTTTCTTTTTTTTTTCTTCAGTTTTAAGGGACAATGGTGATAAACAATAAGATAGTAGTTCTTACCCCAATTATTAGCGCTATATATATGTTTTTTCCTCTAGAATCATTCCTAGATATATTTATAAATTGGAAAGTATTTTGTTTTGTTCTCTGAAAGTACAAGAATTGTAGAAATCAGTGAGGACTTTAGAAAAAGACTAAAATAGAATAACTTTTTTTTTAAATTATTTTGAAATAAATTCAAATAAGTGTTGTGTTTGAAAACATTTAATCTGTTATTGATATTACATACTAAAGTGTCATGGTAAAGAGCATTTGGATGCATGTTCATGTTTATTGCTTTGTTGTTTTTAAAATCAGAGTCTTCTAGAAAGCAATCTGATTACGTAGACACTCTTGTTTGTGTGTATGAAAAGCGAATTCATATGTTTTTTCTGACAACATTTGTAATAAAAAAAAATCTAATTTTAAAGACATGTTGTAGCAGAAAAACTATTGATCAGATGATTTCTTGACCAGTAAGAAGCAGACATTGAAGATGTTTCATTACTAGTAAGACAAAAAAAAAAATAAAAATCTAATTCAGTATTTTCTATTATTTACTGCAAAGAAAATGTAAAAAAAAATAATCTGAAGGGTTCGTATTTTGCACGTAACATGCCAGAATCTGATGTTTCTTTTGATCTGTTTTTTCATGTAAATTCATATTACTTTACTGAGTGAAGTTGTAGCATTGGACAAATACCTTAAGAATCTGACAAAATTAGCACCTAATATAATGTACAACCTTTATTCAAAGGATCCAATAAGAGCACATATAAATTGTATTGATTTGTAATAAAGAACATTCAACTCTCTTTGTCAAAACAACTCTATTTCCTGTATTTACACGTCCTTTGCCTTTTAAGACACCTAAAGGATCCTGAATGTTCCGTTTAATACAAGGTATAAATCAAAATTCAGAGTTCAGAATGAGTTTCGGACCCCAGTTGTAAAGACTAAGTACAAAAGAATGTTACTGAAAATAACTTATATTTATATAGATGTGTAGCAAAATGAAAGCTAATGCTTGATGCTAAATTGTGATTGCTGTTATAAATTCAAGGCTGTAAGTGAAAACTCAGCAGTAGCCTGTTTGACTGTGATCCACACAGACTAAAATGCATATTGTTGCCTCAAACCAGTATGCAAATGGATGAAAGGTAGGATTCCTGGCAGCTGAACCATGAGTTTCAAGCCTTGAACCCTTGACAAATTCAAGGGCTTGGCAGCTGAGCCAGACCTGCCATAAGAACAGATTCAATCATGGTATTTATTACTCCTTCCAGGTAAATACCTCCCTTCAGTGCTTTTCTGTTTGAAAGCATTCCAATTTTTATGGTGTTGTGTGAATGCTACACATTTTCAGCATGTGAGATGGGTATTTGGTTTTAGAGTACAATAGAATTCAAAATGTGTAAGGCTTTTATTGTAGTACCATTTAAATTCCATTTAGGCCTATGTCTTCTAATTTTCCATGACTACTTTCAGGAAACAAAAACCAGAAAATGCTTCTTCTTGATGCAGTCTGAACAACCACTACTTCACAGTGCCATTTTTACTTTCTCCAGTCCCTCTAAGAAATTAATTTTTGGCTCTTAAATACCTTGATATTAACTGGCATTGCTTGCAACTGCTATTCACCCTCTACTTTCGGCAACAATTTTACTTATTTAAAAATAATTTACAATTTTGCAAATTTACTTATGTTGCCTCACATAAGAGAAAATAGAAAACAAATATGTTTGTAAAAAGCATACTTCTAGAACAGATCATTTTTTTAAGGTGTGCCCCTCTTAATAACTACTTAAGAAGAAATCAAATCTACCTGATATTTCTCTTTCTTTGATTTCCTAGAAAGTATTAAAACCAGCCTGCTGGAGAGAAAGAAAATTAGAGGGAAGGGTGACCTTCCTTCAGCAAAACTGAAATTGCAGCACTGGAAGATCCCACAGCAGGCCTTCTGTAGGCCACACAATGTGTTTCAGTGATGTTCAAAGTAGAGCACCACAGAGAATATTGTATGAGGCATCAAATTTTGTAAATTTCTCTAAAAAGTACCCATCCCAAAGTTTATTGAAATAATCAGAAAAAATTCCATAGACTTGAGGCTTCAGTTAATTTTGAAAGAACATTATGAGGAACACAGGCTAAGGGAACTGGAAAACTTAAATTAATTGTAGTTCTATACATTCTTCATCCTTAATTTTATCTTTTTTTCTTTATTTTATTCATCAGTGAGGCTTACCATGCAATGTGCCACCATAAATTAGAGTTTAGGTTTTCCAGATTTCCTATTTGCCAAAATATAATGTTGCATCATGCTGTACATGTTTAAAAAGTATCCCCTCATCAAGTTGAACAGGAAGTTCAGTTAAAAATTGCTGTTTGAATTTATTGCACAAAGGTGACTCTCATCAAGTGAACTCTGAAAGTGAACCAAAATTATCTTTTCTTTATGAAGGTTGCAGTACTTCCCCTCTCCTCTCTTCTTTCAAAGCAGTGTGTTATCAGAGATTGAGATTAAAACAGCAATTTATAATTCCAAGGATCCATTCTTCCATGCTGCCAGTTTTCCCATATTTTTTTTTTTAAAAATCTGCATTAGGTTGAACAGTTTGTACTATTCTGGGTGTACTTATTGCCATGGTACTGAAGTGCTTTTCAAGTCCAGGAAAGCATTTTATAAATCAGCTCTCTTTGTTCAGTCCTTAGTGGATCTGTAAAGAGAGCCAGGTCTCTCATCAGTGTGAACAAGCAATTCAAATTTTATTATGTGGACACTTTTCTGGCAGGCACTGAACTGAGGCTGTAAATTTCTCCTCTCTGCAGCCTATCAAACAGTTATCAGACACTGACTGTAACAATGTGAGATTGGATTTAAACACTGGCCTAGGATATAAAGATCTGTAATGTGTTACTCTGAAGCTTTCTGTGCTGTGTAGCTTTCTGCTATTTGCCCTTTTTTTCTTCTACAAAGGTATTGTTAAAAAACTTATTTTATTGTGTCAAACTGGCCGAGATTATCAAAATAATTCAAGAATTGAACGTAGATTTCAGGTACCTAAACCAAATGCTTAGACTGCCAGCAGAACACATGACCTGATCAACTCTGCCTGTGCAAGTCAGAACATTAGAAACCTGCAACATATTTGCTTGCCTTGACACATGGAACTAAAAGTGTTTTCAAGAACAGATCCTTATATTTTGTAGTTGAATTCCTCTAAAGTCCCTGCAATTGGCCTAAATTATTGTTACAATTTATATTTCTGTAAGCAGAGTAAGAATGAGAAGTTTATCATTCCAACAAATAATTTGATATTAAAAAATATTCCCATTTGCCTTAATAATGCTGCAAAATAAACATACACAGCAGTGGGTAAGTACTACAAAAGCAGTGATAAAAAAGAAACTTCCAGATGGCCAAAGCAAACCAGCTGATTTTTGGGAGGATCTTTGGAAAACGGAACTATGAGGTGCTCCATACTCTGGGGGAAGCGAGGCGGATTGTCATTGACATCAGTCAACGTGATGTTCACGGTGGTGGTCCCTGATAGGCCTCCCATCTGTCCTCCCATGTCTTTAGCCTGGATGACCACTTGGTACTGCTCCCTGTTTTCTCTGCTCATGTCTGGTAAAGCAGTCTTGATTATGCCTTGAAGGAATAAAAAAAAAAAAAAAAAAAAAGAGTGGTGAAGGAGAAGCACCATCCAGCATAATCTCAGAGCTCTTAGATGGATTTATGTCAGATACACCGTGCAGATGATAATCCATAGCAATCACAACGAGGTGTACTGCAATAAACCTTTCAATCTATGGATGCTTCAATGTGATTTTAAGAAAAAAGATTAAAAAATGTAACAGACACATTATTCATTGTTTTTGTTCTGCTAAATCAATTTGATTATTCTTTTAATGACAAAAATATCAATAAGTTCATTGAATTAATGACATTTTTCAGTTTCTATCCCCAGTTATTACTAAATTGTGAAATCTCCAGCTCTGGTGACATTTTGATATTACAGCACCAGGCTGAACTCTAATATGCCCAGGATTCATTATTCTGGGCTGTGATAGATCATTGATTGTGATGCTCAGTGATGTCCACTATAAGTCAGCTGGGGCTACAGCTTGTAAGATAATTGGACAAGACTCTAAAATTAGTTTTGAAAAACCTTTTTTGAGGTGTCTAATTTGAAGAATTTCATAACTGTAATTTAAATGTCTCAGATACCTTTGCAGTACACAAAAATAATAGGAGTCTCAGGTGAGAAAACCAAAAGTGATGCTGTATGCCACTTTTCATTAAAGTTTCTTTTAGAAAACCAAGCATAGCCTTTTTATTATTTTTATTATTTTTATTATTTTTATTATTTTTATTATTTTTATTATTTTTATTATTTTTATTATTTTTATTATTTTTATTATTTTTATTTTGAGGGGTGGTGGCTTTTCAAACCTGGAGTGATGAGAGTTTTCTCTTGTGAAGTGGGAAAATTTAAGTATAGTTTCCTTTTCTGCTGGGAGGATTCACACCCCTGCCCTTTCTTTCTCAGAAGAAGGCTCTCATTATAGGCTTGGTTCAATATTAGACAGAAAAAAAGGCAATTCTGGAAAATATATACTTCTAGCAAGTTAGTGAAATAAAGAAAAAAAACCTTTACAGCTTAGTGGTTATGACATTTGTGTCTGATCCAGGATTACCAGGTTCTGATTATCATACCTAGGCTTGTTAATACATGTAACATGAAACAACAAATTGGATTAAATTGAAAATTAATCCCTGAACCAAAGATGAGAGTCCAGGTCTTTCCCTTACTTTCTGCCTGCCTAAACACCTGCTGCCATCATTTACTGCCTGTGTGGTACTTGTCCTGTTTCCCTGCTCATGCCTGGTAATGATGTTTGACTAGGGCACTGGAGAAAAGAGAAAAAAAGAGAAATGGAAAAGAGGGGGAAAACCAAACACTTTTATTCAAAGCAAAATTGTTATCCTCCCTTTTAAAATTATAGCTTTTTGATTAATTATCTTTTGCATATTATTCCTTTGCTGTGTTTAGCTACTGAGTCTTGAGTATGTTAGCATCAAATATCTGGAAGAGGGGAGTTTTTGGTTGTGTCTTTCTTTTCTGAACCTTAATTTTGAGTTATGGATATTCAAAATTTACACTTTTTTTTTTTTTTTTTAGATTGTGTTCGCCTCTTATCGAATTTCTTGCATAACTGTGAAAAAGGTTTCAATTCATTATTTTCAGCTGGAAAGCATTCATGATACTTGCTTCAGTTCTCATAACTCTTGGAAATATAATGAAGCTTCAAAAAAAAAAAAGTTAAAAATTTTCAGTGGTCAGGAATCTATTCCAAACTTTTAGAAACATTTAGTTACCTGTGAGATATTTTTACCTTGTAGTATGAAAATGTCCAACTCCCATTTATGTTTTTTAAAGGCAAATAGATGTAATTCCCAGAAACTGGTGTAAAATAGGCTTGTGACGAATTTTTATGTTTCTTTGGACCCTTTACAGTATTTTCCACCTTTTTTTTTTAAACTTTTTGTCTTTACAGTTAACAATTATTTTGGAAAAAATAATTAACAATACTTTTGGAAATCTCAGTTATACCAAGTAAAGCAATTTTTCTACAATAACATTATTTTAACAGAAAAAGCATATTTTTATTTTGATTCTGCTTTTCATTCAGTGAAAGGGTATCAGCTTTGTGTCAAGTCATATGTCTGTTCCAGCATTGAAATGGAAGTGAAATGTGTCTTGGCCCCTGCATCCTGTCTCTGTTACTGCAAAAAGTGAGACTGAATGGACTGCTAACCTGTTTCTGGATCCACTGAGAAATATGGCTGTCCCTGGAGGATGCTGTACACCACTTTGGCACTGTTCCCATAGTTGGCATCATCAGCATCTGTGGCTGTCACCTGAATAACAGATGTACCTAAATGGGTACCAAGCAGAGAATCAGCAAGTTTTAGGAAGGCATCTGCTTGTAGACCACATACAGTTGTTGCAGTATTGAATTCAGTATGAAATCAAACATCATCCACTGGACCAGTCCAGAGACCTGGATCTACCCAAGAGACAGTAAAATAAAACCCCAACTTCCCGATGACTGGACCTAAAATCATTATCACTCAAGATTCATGCATTAGTTTAACAAGATTAACAGGAACTGACACATCTTTGAAACTCAACACAGCATAAGGTTTTTTGGTGAACAAACAACTTTGAAGATTTTTCTCTGGCAATAACACAAGCTCAGCTGAAGTTGTTCACTTAAAAGTTTGGTTTAATTAATAAATAAACTTAAAGCAAATTTCCCCATACTCATTTTCTGCTTAGATGACAAATTCCAAGTGTCTGAATTCTGGCTCAATAAAACACTTTGTCTCATCCTAAACTGATTTTTGAGGTTCAGTTTAAAAATAGATTGTTTTTGCAATAAGAAATTCTATTTGTGGGGGTTTTGTTTGTTTTTTTTTCTCTTGGTCAAAGTTATCTACCCATTTGGCAAATATGCTACTGACATTTTTCAGGATTCACTTATTTTGCGTGACAATATTTTATCTTTGTCCTGTGATCATAAAGAAGACAATATAGCTTATACAGGATTATGAGTACTGTGAGCCAATACTTTTGGTGTAGTTTATGGGTTAGAAGCGAATGAAAACTTCCATAAAGCCTTTCTTATAAGATATAAAAGCACAAAGGTGTCCTTCACAAGCTTTTTTTTTTCTTAGCACCTTTCAAGATGTCAGGATGCATTTTGCTCACACAATCTAGAGCTGACAAATGTCTAGATAGATGCAGGCAGTCCAATAGTTAGAGGTATAAAGATGCTTGACTTCTTACCAGGGGAAGAAAGCTGACTGAGAAGAAGCTCTTTACCCTATTTTTGTCCAAGTTGTTTCGGGTTTTTTTCTGTATCTCACTTTCTTTGAAATAAAAATTTCTGGTAAGCACTGTCCACTTAATTGATATCATTCCCTGTTTCCCTTTTTTAATACCTCACTCTCTCTAGGTTGAAATTCCCCCAGATAACTTGCCGGCAAGTGTCTGTCTTGACTATAAGTTTAGAAGACACTCATTTACCTGTGACTAATGGCATTGAAGTGAGTCACTTCTATTGCTGCTTTTTAGCATATTCCAGGGTTGGGAAAAGTAGAAATACAGAGTAGAAATCTCAAAACAGATTTGTGAGATTTGTTAGAAGCAACTATTTTTTTCATAGTACACAATACAGCTTTACAAATAATAGTTTTACCTACACAACAGTTCCCAATATTTCAGGTTATCTGAAGAGCATGTCAAGAGAGGGCAAATACATCTTTCTCTGCATCAAACCATCAGAAAAAAATTGTGAAAATGCTTTGTCACAAATCATCAGACTCTTAAGAAGATTTTTGCTATCAGGTATACAGATTATTTTTTGCCTGATTAAACAGCCAGAGGTCATCTGTGTGCCAAGCTGAGCTGTAAAGATGATCCCAAAGAAGCGAATATTTAAGGACATTTTAATCACTAACAGTACCCAGCAGAACTGCTCATCTGGACAAAAAAAATCAAGACAGTTCTTTGACAATGGTAAAGTTCCATTAGTCCATTAGTCCAGCAGTCCCATCTGTTTTCAGAAAAACAAGTAAGTTAAATACCCTGCCTCCTCAAGACAAATGGGGAAAGAAGAGTCAATATCCCTTGATAGCCTATAAAAACCATAATCAGTAGTATCATATACTGTGTGACATTGTAGCATCTTGAAGTTAAGAACAGAGAGCAATTTAGCCCATCCCAAAAAACCCAGCCCAAAATACTTTAATCAGAAAAGGTTTTTACTGTGGCCTCCTAATCTAGACATTGTCATGGGGCTGACACAAAAGTTTGAGTAGGGTTATAGCAACTTAATGCAAATTAATGTTCTTCCTTTTTTTTCCTAGTGTACTGTTTTGCTGAAGAGAAAAAATGCTGAATTTGTTTTGAGTTCCTCTTTTTTTTTTTCTTTTTTAAGACAGTTATTACAGAGCTTAAGGCAGTATTTGGGAGACTTCTGTGTTTGTCTCATTGGAATGTCTGTTCTTTGTTTCTTGAGGCTCAAGTGCCATATAATTATAGTTGCTGAGCAGAGTACAGAAAATATAACCCTACAGAAACTTTTCATGTGGTGAAAAGATAGTATTACAAATCTTCTTTTTTTTAAACTAATAGTACAACTGTGAAAAACTATTAAGCACAGTATAGCCTCAAAAAATTCAATGTCAGCAAGTGGTTCACTCTCTTTGTCAACAGTCTGCTGTGTCATAAAGAAGGATGCTCAGAAATGATAGACAGTACTCGTGCAACTTTCTTTCATGAGATAAGAAACCTCTTAGCTTTTTGGGTCAGAAATGGCAGTGAAATAAAGACAGTGAAATAAAGGCAATGAAATAAAGGGACTCACTATTAATTATGGAGTAATTGGTAAAGAGGCAAAATATTTTAATCAAAGCAAAGTAGGCCTTATCTTTACCCCACCTGAATGGAAGCCACAGTATGATCTGTTTATTTATTTGTTTATTTATAGTCTAGATTACCTCATAAGCAGCCTCTTACTACAGTTGTCAGAGGAAATCAGCTTGACTTAAAATACAAATGGGCTGTCTGGATGAATACAGCAGTAGTGAAGGAAGGAAGGAAGTACAGTCTGGGAAGAACTGGGGGTGGGGGAGGACATTTTAGCGTTTATCACTATTCAACCCTGTTTTTAATATACAATAAATTAAATTATTTTTTCATGTGAAGTTTGTTTTCACCCTTATGGTAATTCATAAGTAATCACTCAATCAACAAAATCACTCATCATCAAAAGCATGAGCTTTTCCACTTTCTTTTCTCTCTCAGTTTTGTTGAGGAGGGGGAGCGAGAGAACAGTTGGGTGGGCTTCTGGCAGACAGCCATGATCAAACATGCCACAGAGAAAATTGGTGTGAAGGATGACACATAAAATGTGAAAATAACTACAATAGCAGTCTAAGTAGTGATAACATCACTCTCCTGCAAATCCAAGTCCACTTCAACCCAATCCAACCCAGCCAGTCTATTCCATTTTAGGATGATAACAAAATCACAGAGTTCTCAAGAGGTATGTCTTTTCCTTTTATCTTTTTTCTTTATTTCCTTTTTTCCTTTTTTCTTTTTTCCTTTATTACTTCCCATTTTTTTTTGTTTTTTCTTTTTCTTTTTCTTGAGTATGGAAACTTAAGCACTTTGATAACATATCTATTGTGTGATGTATGGGGTCCTAATATATGGACAGCAAAATGCAGAAGTTAAATTTTGAAAGTAACCTGAGAGAAGACAAATCTATACTTAATCTATATTAAGTAGTGCTGCTGTGTGTTTGTATGTGCATAAAAATTCATGTAAAAATGTAGAACTCAAAAAGGAAAGCTATTAGAGAGAGCATCACTTCATATCTAGGAAGTGCCAGAATTAAGTGCCACTAACACAGATTACTAAAACTCATGGAGAGTGTGACATAAATTTGAAAAAACCCCACAACATTTGAAATTAAAATGCTTTTATGAGTTATGTTTAATATGCTTTCTGTTCATTTGTGCTATTTAGTCTTTGAAAGAGTCCCTCTGGTATAATTAGGTCTTCCCAGCATGATACCAGAGTCCATTGCAAAACTGAAGTAAATAGCTTGAAGAGGATTTTTGCAGTGCAAAAGAGGTTCTTCCACTAGATGAGACAGGCACATATTTTGCTACCTTTTAATGTGAAGTCATGCTGTTCAGCATGCAACGCTTGCTCCTACTTGGCTCTTTGGGCTGACATGAATTACAACAGCTTCTGCCAGTCAGGAGGATATATCTGCATCTACTGGAAAATTTTAGTTTTACTGATAACTTGTTCTGTAACCTTCATTCTAAACAGTGTTCTCCATCTTGGGAGAAGAAAATGAGCAGATTATGTTGTTAGCAATGTGTGCTTCAAGATTCTAACATGAATGTTGGATAAAAAAATGACAGTGATTTAAATATCATTCAGAACCATGCCTTTTTTTTTTTTTTTTGAGAGGGAAATCTCTAACTTCAAAATGCATTTTGATTCTGACATTTTTATAAAACTAGTATTTCAGAACAATTCAAACTTCTGATTTTAAGAAAAAAAAAGAAGGCTTAGGCTTTGGCTGGCCAGTATAAAGTATTCAAAAAGTAGTTTGGAAATGCTGAAACAGGATGTTATTTACATTATGAGACAGTTTCATTTGTTTTTGTTTTTTTTTTTTCAAATTGACTTCTGTCAAAATTGGCAATTATTGAAAAGTTATGACTTTTACAGAGGAGTTTTGTCTGTGTATGTGCAGAAAGTCTGTTTCATTTTCAGAAATAGAAGACCAGCTGGGGTAAGTGGAGAGGCAAGAAGGACTTTATCTCCCCAAAGGAGAAGCTCTTATGCTTGCTTCCTGTTTTCAAGCACAATGCCAATCTGCTGTTCATCAAGTTTATTTACAGTGGGAAGATTTTAGAAGAGGGTTACTTTCACAGGAGAGAAAGATTTGGGTAAGCTCTGGAAAACCTCTGGAGACAAAACTGGGAATTTTGTATGTCTGGAAGCCTAAAGAAAATGAATGGACACGTAGTTTGGTCAGACAGCATCATTCCAAGGATTATGAAGACGTAGTCTGGAGATGCTTCTGCTGAAAACATAAGTGAAATTTTAAGTGAACTACAGAAATTTTGAGGGGTTTTAAGAGACACTTTTGTTTTTGAGAGCAGGTTGTTGTCTCTGGATAGTAGTCTGTGCTTGAGCAATGAACTGGAAGAATGATGAATTAGGAGCTATGTGGCACTACCCAAGCCTAAAACGTTTAGGGAGGGATTGGGCTCACCACCAAGTATCTCACTACCACATCAGCTGGATGACATCACTTCTGACTACTTTGTACGTAAAGGACAG